TAAAAATCAATCAGAATTAAATAAAAAAAGTAAATGAAAATAAAATAAAATAAAAACATTTGAAAGATGGCGCCAACGACTAGCACGTATGTCAGGTTGAGATTGGTTGGATTCAAATATTGTGCGCGAACCAGACTAGTCCTGAACCTTGAGTTGATTTTTGCAAACTTCATGAACTCGTGTTTTATCCAGAATCAAGCATGAATTCAGTTTCCTAATACATAATCGTTCATGTCTCTTTGCTTCAGAGCCATTTATTGGCTCTAAGCAAAGAGAAATTGCTCAAGAACACGAAGAACCCTAGTTCTTCAAAGTAAAATTAAATGATGGATACGCAATATAAATTCAAGGCAGTTGAGGGTTTTTGGTCCGTGAATCGAGATAAAGAGAGTGGTAACTTGTTTGTTCAAGAATTAAACTCATAACTACCTTTTCAGTTGAAGCTTCAGAGTTCAACAATGGTGGAAACGGTGAGCTGGATTCAAGAAGTTTCATAGCACGTCAATGTTTCAATTAGCTTCAGATGATGCCGATGAGTGATTCTGGGCAAAGATTTAAAGCAAAATAAGCTTGAATCGAAAGAATGAATTTCTGGTTTTCAAGGAATATCGGGCTTAAGTGCTTTAGATTTTCTTTGGATTTTCAAGCTTGAAAATGAAGGAAAATCAACCCTCTATTTATAAGAAATGAAATTTTTATCTCACACATGTGAGTTAGATATAAAATTCGTGTGAGCTAGGGTTGAATTTTGTGATTTGCAAAGTGTGTGAAGTGAAGTGTGATATGTGTGAATTATCACTTGAAACCAGTTATTTTTGGTATGTCCAAATGTGTTTTAGGTCTCCAAATGAATTGCACATGTGTTGGTGGTCCCAAATTGAATTTTGTGATCTGAAATTAGCATGAATTTTATGACCTGAAACTTGGGCAAAAAGCATAGTCCATGGTGCCATGTTTAAAGCTAGGCCAAATGAAATTCCCCCTTGCGTTTTTTATTTTTGTTTGTACCAAATGATAAGTTCATTGCAAATAATTCAATGCAAAAACAATCACATTAAAAGGATGCTTGAATTGAAAATGGAATTAATTTAAAGTTGGTGTCGTGATCTGGTTTCTAGGTCAGGCAATAGGTCGAACTATGTTTTGGTCTGCCTGGCCAATTAAGACCTCCAAGTTCATGACATCATAACTTTTATTCCTACGTGCATTTTGAGCCAAACTTGGGCCAAATGATCCTTTTCATGAGCTTCACAAAAGGCACAAAGAAGCTTTTCAGTTAGATGCTTGAGCTGGAAATGGCATGGGTGGAAAGTAGGGGACATGACAAGGTTTTGGGCATTTTTGGCAATTTGGTCACTTCTAAAATTAAAGTCCTTGGGGGTTGAATTTATGCTTGATCCTTGAATAAAAGTTGTAGAGTAGTTTATTTTTTACATTTGGCTCAAAGTATCTTTTCCATTGGTTGAAAATTGAAAGAATTATGGTGTTTGAACCAAATGGCATGCCATACTTGAGTTTTAGGCCACACCATCATGCACCAACATATGATCTTTGTTATGAACTTGAATCTAAAGGCACAATGATGATCATGTGAGTACCAAATAAAAAAAACTTAATTGAAACTTGAATGATTGGATGATGGTTTTTTGATGGAGATGGCATGGAAATAAACACATGAACCATTCTTGAACCAATGAACCAAACTTTGAATCTTCCTTGAATAAAATGAAATCTCTCATGCCATAGTGAACATGCCTTGATCATGAGCTTCTCAATCCAATCTTGTACACCTAGATGAACATAAAGAAAAACAAACAAGTATCGATCTCTTGGTTTCTTGGTTATATGACATGAGACCAATGCAAACCCTAATTGACAAGGGAATCAAGGATGCTAATGAGATGATATGATGAATATATAGTGCAAAAGCTCGGGTGAAAATAAGGGTATGCCAACTGCCTCTATTTAATCTTCTTGGACCCGAAGGTATGAAAAGCAATAACTTTTCGGCATTCGAGGTAGGAGAGGATTAAATACCAGAATATCCAAAAAAAATTAGTCTCTAGGAAGGGAACAGGGTGAGTGTAAATGTATTGTGGTCTTTTTGGTTTTTGTGGAATGGTGATGTAGGTTTATCTATTAAGGATTTGAGCAAAGTATTATGTATGCGGGAACATGTCAAATATGAAGGATCTGTTATAATATGCATGATATGCAATGCATGGTGAGCTTTTCCAGTTTGGTAGTGGAGACATCCCTGCAGGATTCCAAGAATAGAAAAAGCGATGTATTTGCAAAAGGCAAAGAGGATTCTTGTAAAAGGAAAGCATGATTTGGTTGGGGGTAACAAAATTTTCCTCTACAAAAGGTAAAGGGCGCTTGAGAAAGGCAAGGAAGAGGATAAATTCCTCATGCAAAAGGAAGTGAGAACTTCTTAACAAAAGGTCAAGAAGAAAGGCAACAACTTGATTTCTCGTACAAAAGGTAGTGAGGACTCCTTAACAAAAGGTCAAGAAGACATCTGGTTTCTCATATGAAAGGTAATGAGAACTCCTTAACAAAAGGTTAAGAAGGGGGTCTAATTTTCTCATACAAAAGGTAATGAGAATTTCCTAACAAAATGTTAAGAAGAAAGATCTGATTTTCTCATACAAAAGGTAATGAGAATTTCCTAACAAACGGTTAAGAAACAAAGATATGATTTTCTCATACAAAAGGTAATGAAAATTTCCTAACAAAAAATTAAGAAACAAAGATCTGATTGGTTTCCACCTGCAAAAGGCAATGAGGGTCCTCAGTAAAAGGTTGGGCAGACTTTGTGAAAGACGCATGAATATGATCCCTTATGAATAAGGAAGTAAAGGATATAACTTGGCGATGAGGGTACTTATAAAAGGTAAGTAAGAGACAACACTTCGTGCAAAAGGTAAGTGAAGACATAATTTTCTAATGCAAAATGAAAAATGGGTCTTACAAAAGGCAAGTAATAAAGGAAGAATAATCTGAGAGAATCCTATTAGGATGTCTTTGTGCTTTTGAGAAAAACTTGAATCTGGCTAAGCGTGCATGTAATGATGATTAATGTATGCAAAATTTTGATGTATGTGCGGGCTGCTGGGGATATGAGGATATAGGATCCATGGATGTGCCAATTATGGTTGGGTTTGGTTTTGAAATAGGGAAAATCTTGGCTTCCCGACATCTTCATCTCTTAACAGCAGTGTGGCAAGATTTGGATCTTTCTAGAACCTCAAACTAGCTTTGAGTAGACATGTTAGCTGATGATTATCTCGAGCTAGATTTCCCCTAATTTGGTCAAGTTTATGTGATGCTTATTATTTAACGTTGTATATGTGCACCAAGTATTCCATTTGATCAAATTTGTGTGTTCTTTCAATACTTTTATTGTTATCCCTAAGATTCTCAATGCATTGCTTATTAAAAATAAAAGCGCACTCTTGCAGACAAGTAGTAAAAGTATAAATATGGAGCATGTTTGAATGAAAGAAAATTTATTAATGATAAAGTGACATGTGAATGAGTGATTTACATGAGGAAGAAATTCCTAAAAGAGATCATTGTCAAAATAAATGTAAGAAAAATACAATGGCAATGAGAAAGTTTTGGATTTCCATTAAGTTCCAATTCTGCTATGATCCATATGTCTTCAGAGATCCTTGCATTCTGCTTCTAAGGAAAGTGATTCGATTGATTCTTCCCATTCAGAGCTTCCATGATGGATTCAACAGATTCTTTCTAGACCATAACCTCTTGCCTTTTAAGTCCCTAACTTTTGCCTAGACCGCCCTTTTGGGTTTTCAGCCAAGCGGGACACCCATTTTTGCCTAAGTTTCCCTTTGGGGTGGTTCAAATTAGCAATTTCTTTATTTCTTTTGGCTTTTATCCCTACTTTTTTCCTGGACCTTTTCCTTTTATCCACTAGGATGCCCATTTTTTCATGGGCCTTCTCTTTTTATGGTCCATCGAGTCTATTTCTTAGGCGAAGTATATTTTGATTGCGTCTGCATTCACATGGAATGGAAGATCTTCACCATCCATAGTTGATAAAATCAAGGCTCCTCTAGAGAAACCCTTTTTCACAATGGATGGTCCTTTATAATTAGGTGTCCATTTGCTCCATGGATCTGTGTGAATTGGCATAATCTTCCTCAATACCAAGTCTCCTACATTGAGAATTCGAGGACGAACCTTCTTGTCAGTTGGATGCTTGATCTGGAAATGGTATGGGTGGAAAGTAGGATCATGACAAGGTTTTGGACACTTTTGGCAACTTGGTCACTTCCAAAATTGAGGTCCTTAGAGGTTGAGTTGATGCATGATCCTTGAATCAAAGTTGTAAAGGAGTTTATTTGTGACATTTGGTTCAAAGTATCTTTTCCATTGGTTGAAAATTGAGAGAATTATGGTTTTTAGACCAAATGACATGCCATACTTGAATTTTAGGCCACGCCACCATGCACCAACATGTGATCTTTGCTATGAACTTGAATCTAAAGGAACAATGATGATCATGTGAGTACCAAATGAATAAATCTTGATTGAAACTTGAATTATTGGATGATGGCTTGCGAATTTGATGGAGATGACATGGAAATAAACACATGAACCATTCTTGAATCGATGAACCAAACTTTGAATCTTCCTTGACCAAAATGAAACCTCTCATGCCATAGTGGACATGCCTTGATCACAAGCTTCTCAATCCAATCTTGTACACATTGATGAACACAAAGAAAAACAAATAAGTACCACATCTCTTTATGTCTTGGTTATATGACATGAAACCAATGTAAACCCTAATCCACAAGGGAATCAAGGATGCTAATGAGATGATATGATGAACGTATGATGCAAAAGCTAGGTGGAAAATAAGGTTATGACATAATCATTTCAAATTCAAGATCAACTTCAATTTTACATTCAAAAGGGTGTTGTTCTTGGGGTTGTTCTTGTGTTGTATTTCTAGATGCAGCCCCAGTTTAAAGTTGGGTTTGTTCTTGTGTTGTACTTCTAGATTCAACAACTGTTACATTTTTCTTTGGTTTTCTCTGCACATATAAATCATGGAATTAATATTACACGATTGAATTAACACTAATACAAAGCATGGAGATTATTAAATACCTTTCTTTTTTTAGCTTCAATGTCAACCATAAGACAAGTACAACTTTTTGCATTATGGACATGCATACCATAATTTATGCAATAATAAATTGTTTGTGTCCTTCCCTTGTCAGTGTCTTCATCAGGTTCCTTCCTCCTCAATTGATTTTCCCTTCCAGGTCCTCTTTTGTATGTTGGAGGTAACATTTCTTTAATGTCAACCTCTGGTCACATGTCTTGTTCATTAATTAGGCTTACATTAAAATCACAACATGCCACATAGGTTTCCTTGGAGTACTTATCATCCACAAAGTCTTCAGAGCATTGGTTCCTAAAACCTAATGGAGATACTACATGTCTACATGGTATGCCTACTAATTCCTAAAAATTACAGGTGCAAGTTCTTTTTGAAATGTCCACTATGAAACTATGTCTAGTATGAACATGTTCAAATTTCCATATTGTCTCACCAGACCAATTTGGAATCCAATTACCAACATGTTCTACTTCTTTATCTAACTTAAGTCTTGGTCTAGGCATTATCATATGTTTCCACCTATCAACTCTTTCTATTAAGCTAGTATTCCTATTCATGATGTTGTCTCTTACCCATTCACACGTGGTTAAGATTGGATTATCACTAGACACTAATATTGTGCTATTAAATGCTTTGGATACATTATTCATAAGCACATCACATTTGGGTTAGAAAGAAAATACATGCTTATACCATGCTTTGGTAGGTATTTTGGAAAGCTACTCCCAAGCCTTCACATTAATCCCCTTGAATTCTTCCAACTTAGTTTCCCATGCTTGAATATATGTTGCCATTGTTGCTGCCATCATCAAGTCCCTAATTTGTGTGCCTCCTCCAAACTTATTTTTGAAATTGGAATATAAATGTCTAATACATAGCCTGTGATCCACCCTCTCAAGCATTTCTTCAAACACGGGAATTAAACCCTGCAAATTTAGTTTTAATCTAGAAGATACATGTATCAAGGATGAAATCCAAAAGTCAAACATGTATTAGGGATGATATCCAAATTTTAAACATGTATCAGGGATGTAAACCAAAAGTCAATCATGTATAAGGGATGAAATCCAACAGTCAAACATGTATAAGAGATGAAATTCGATATAAAAAAGTTAGTAATGAAATGTACCTTTTGTTGGTCAGATATGAATACCCATCATTTTTTTAGCCAATGACTTGCCACACATATGAGCACCAACCCATCTCTTCATTCTATACATGTGCTTGTTTCCAACCTTACTAACAAGTGCCAAAAATCCACATTTACCCTTGCAAACTACCCTTACTTTAACTTTATCATTTTTCACATACTTTATCTCTCTCCCATTTAATAATAACCATTCATTAATTGCCTCCTTAAATTCATCAAGTGATACAAACTCCAATCCCACTTTAATCTTGTAATTCTTGTCCAACCCCTCCATCTTAAACCTATGATACTTTGGTCCGCTCTCTTGATCTAAAGCATCAGGATCACTGCTACCAAGCTCATCACTAGCATAATTAGTGTCCATCTTATCATTAACAACACTAGGAGAATCTGTAATATCATCACCGATTCTTAATTTCTTTGAAGTATTCTTTTGTTTCCTTGCTATTTGTTTTACCCTTTGTTTTTTCCCTCAGATTATTTATCAATTAAATCAAAGACATCATCCAACGTAAGATCCATATCATCCTCGCTATCATCAAATGATATACGATTAGCTTTAAAGTCACTATCATCATTTTCATCACTAAAATCACTATCATCATGTTCATCTTCTTCAGCATTAACAGCGCCTTCATCATTAACACCACCATTATCCTCAACATTAACATGATCCTCAATATTAACAACACTATCACCATCATTAACAACACAATCATTCTCAACATTAATATTAACACCACTTTCTTCCTCAACATTAACAGAACCATCATCATCTACCTTATGCTTAACATATATGTCCACTACACATTTCATTACAACTGTAAATTTATAAACCTGATTAGCATCATTATTACTAACCATTTTATCGTGCTTTTCTAATTCATTGTTATACCATCATAATCAATATTCTGAATACTCAAGCTGACAACGGTCTTTCACGATACCAGTAGCTTTGAAGAAGCTCCACTTATCTGGATCAATGTCTACTATATGTTCATGTCCACCTAGGTAATAGGTTACATTTTCCCTATAAAAAATTACCATGCATTGAAAATTAAAAGTAAAAACATATCTTGTTGAATTGATCATCTTGCTCAAACGCGTCTTTGATTTGTCTACCACTTTTGTCGCCCACAAACCTCATCTTCCTCGTAATCACCTCCCACCTCCCATAGAGCTCAGAAATGTTTCCTCTTTAGAAACCCTAATTTACAGGGACTAAAACTAAAACTATAGAATGCATCTTTAGGACCTTATTTTTATGGGAGGTCAGGGACTAACACCAACAAGAAAGTAAAATGTAGGAACTTCAACCAAAAAAAAAGATTTAAGGACCAAAACCAAAAACTCTCCAACTTACAAGGACCAAAATACTATTTAAGCCTTTATTTTAAATAAGCTTAAATTTTGAATAAATTTTATTTATAAGTGTTCAACTAAAATCCATAATATTAAAGATTTTTTCATATAAAAAGGGTAAAACTCTATTTTTCCTATTAAATGACATGAGAACAAGTTTTAAATCGTACTTTTGATTGTGACTATACTATAATGCACATTTAGTCATTGTATTGTAAATTAGTTTTTTATTTTTTATTTTTTAATTTATTCTCAAGCCAAAAAATTTGTTTTTTCTTTTAAAATTTCATATTTATCTCATCAATTATAAATTTTATAACTAAATATTTCCAATTATTTAAAATATTTCTTAAATCACAAGTGACATCAGCCGAGTAAAATCCAAAGACGGGCTCTAAAAAGAGGATGAGCAAGTTGGTGAATTCTTTATATTAGATGTTGGCAAAGGGTAGTACATGCAAACACCCTAATGATCAAGTCAATAAGAAAAAATGAAGGGATGAGTATTGGGAAAAAATGTTATGCACTTTTTCCTCTAATTCAGAGGATTTATATAGTTGTTTCTAGGAGAATCAAGTGATGAGGGGAATTATGACCATTGATGTCCTTCGTGTTTCTTATTATAATTGGGTTTGTTGTCCTTGCCCTTGCTTTGAGTTGATCGATAAGGATTGGTCAGTGGGTCATTTGGATATTAGATTGTACTTGGCTCGGTACGAAATTGTTTATTCATAAGTCATCAATTTGAGAGTGCAAAGAGGGGGCTTAACATTGTTAGTGATGATTTGGTCCTAGGTTTAACTTTAGAAGGCCTATTTGATATGGGCGAGTATTTTCTATATATGACTCATACATTGTTTGAGTTATAATGATTTGTGTAGATTTATGTGCTTACATGTATTGTTAAGGTGATCCAAAGTGGTGAAGTTTTTTTATAGCAAAGTTGCAATCAACTGCTTGGTTTTTATGATGATAACACCTGATATCAAATGATATCCAATAAAGCTCTTATCTCTTGAAGATAGCTGAAATTGTTGAAGATGCTCAAGATGTTTTATCAAGCTATCATTTGGAAGATGCTCTTGAATATCAAGTCATATCTTTGAAGTCAATAATAAGGTAAAATGACATTCAAGTGAAAACTTTTGTTTTAAAGTTCTCTAGTGGATCACTCTCTAAACTCTCTAGTGATGCTAGAAGACTCAGCTCTTGAAGCCAATACTTGAACCTTCAAAATTATGAAAGAGAGGAAGTGTGAAAGCTCACCTAGTCATGACTGTTTGAGTGACTAGTATTTTGTAAAGGCGCGAGGGTACTTCTAAAATTACTAAGGAAAAATAACACATACACGCACACACTAAAAACTTTGAGAAGCCTCTATTTATTGGTTAAAACAGCCTGAAAATGTTTTAAGGCCTAGCTAATTGATTAGGGGACTGAATAACCAGTTCGAATCAATTTTACAACTGAATAACCGATTAGCCCTAAAACACTAATCGGTTATTTTCAGTTTGTAATGTCTATAATCAATTGGGGCAGAAGTATCTTAATGATCGGTAACTGCTAAATATTAAAACCTTCTGTTTATGGACTGAACAACTGATTATTCATAGGTAATAGAAAAAATGAAGCGATGAGTATTGGGATAAAATGTTGTCCATGTTTGAATCCTACTAGGTTCTAACAATCCATGTGTTAGGCCAACCCTTATAGAGCTTTGATATGTATTTAAATAAGCCCTCTACTAATGGACAGAGAGATTGGTCTCTTTGGATTTGTCAGTCGAAAGGTCGGATGCCAAGCTTAACAAAAATAATTGATTGGCCTAGTTAGTTATGGCAATTAATTTTCCAATTTATTGTTTCCAAATTTAAACCATACTTCAGTCTATAAATAGAAAGATTCTTTATCATTTCAAATCATTCAAAAAATTATCTTCGATCCTACTTCTCACTCTCTCATATTTTTACATAAATTTCTCATTTCTCTCACATATATTTTGCCTTAGTGCTTTGAAAGTGTTCTTGTACTTGATGAGGATCATTATTTTGAGTAAGGGTATTATTGTAATTTACTAAGAGTGTATTATCTTTTGAGTTAATATTTCTTCTATAAGAAGTTATTTAGTTGCGAGTTAAACTAGTAAGAGACCTTGTTTGGTTTAAGGGGTTGTTTTAGGAAGTATTCATTTGGTTCATGAGTTTCGCCTACAACAAAAGTTCTATTTTTGTTCATGAAGATTAGCCAATAAAATCTCCACAAGGGCGCGTGAGATCAATCCGGTTTAAAAGCTATATTGGTTTGAGATTAGCCCATATAAAATCTCATATTGGTTTTTGACTTTTGCTTGGTGTAAAAGCTTTGTTGGTTCAAGATTATCATGTGTAAAATCTCATCTTGGTTCGAGGTTGGCCCATTTAAAACTCAATTTTGATTCTGATGATAGCCAACATAAAAATCGATCTTGGTTCATAGGATAACTAGTGTAAAACCCCATCTTAGTTCTAGATCATCTCGTGAAAAATCTTTGTTTAGTTCAAAGGAGAAACTTTATTCGTTTTTTGGTTGGATGTTAACCTTTAAACTTCATATCCTTGTAAAAAGAGGTTTGTCAGCATATCACATTGAAAGCTCTCAAGATAATTGAAACTCTCAAGA